CAGCCGCTGAGGGAGCTGAGGTGGGACCCAGGTGACATCTTGGATGAGTTGGGCTTTCCCAGAGCCACCAATTCTGCATCTACCCAAGAGCTTCACTAAGCTTTCATCTGTTGCAGTCCACAACATAACCAATTTCACGCTAAGCTTGTACACGTCGCTTTTTAACAGTCCCTTTCAAAGACGCGTTTGTTCTATGCTGTCACTTTTGCGCTTGTATTTAGCTGCGCGCAGCAGCCGTGGATTTTGTAAGTGCGTGTTCTGTACCTCTCAAAAAGACAGTAACTGTTCCAGGACCAATTCATTCCCTGGTCATGCTCAGATTTATAGAGGGTAAAATAATTACTCCTGACTAGCCCTCAGTTAGTATTTTTTGCATGAAGGAATCAATTTCCATTGAATATTCAGTTGGTTTTATATCTAGCTTGAGTTATTAGTCTCTTCTCGTCGCTCCATTCCCTCAGCAGCTAGGCCTGGTCTTGCTGCTGTGTTCATATCGGGGAAACTTCTGTTGATCCTGTGTTCTGCCAGTACATTTATCTTCCTAAAGCGCAAACCCAGCTCCGCTGCTCAGGCAAAGGGTGATACGCTGGGGGCAATGAGAGTTGGATGCTCACTAAGGGATGGGGGCCCGAGAGGGATGACATTGGTGCCAGGGCAGGGATCCCACCAGAGAGGCAAGCGATGCCCAGATCACCAGATGAGTCCATATACCCTGCGGCAACCCAGTAGCACCTTCAGCAGAAGCCACCCGAGGCAGCAGCTCCCAAGGGGAAGGTGAAATGGCAGTGAACCTGCTTCTCCATCCGCTTGCAGCCGGGACAGGCCAGCTCAGCATCTGCTGCAGCGAGACCTGGAGGAACCATCTCAGAAAAACACTCCGAGTATTAAGCACCAAAGGCTGGTGATGCTCTGTCCACAGCGACTGAGATGATGATGGTATTCATGAAGCTTTTCCTTGTTGTATGCACGCAGACCAGCTGCTGGATGGTGATACACATAGAGAAGACGAAGGGGAATGGACACAAGTTCCTCTTGGGGAGATTCCAGTTGGACACGAGAGGGAAATTTTTCCCCATGAGAACAGTGACCCATTGGAATAATCTCCCTAGGGGAGGGGTTGACTCCACCACCTTGGACACTTTCAAGGCTCAGCTGGACAGGGTGCTGGGCCATCTTGTCTGGACTGTGCTCTTGCCCAGAAAGGTTGGACCAGATGAACCTTGAGGTCCCTTCCAACCTGCGATTCCATGATTCTATGATACTTAGGGACAACTGAGGTCTGGCTCTAGCTTTGATCTAGGTCAGCCTTTTGGCAGGTGGCTTTATCGCCGAGTGTGCAGTCAAGTAAGGCCATCGGGGCACTGAAGCTGGGTGACTGCTGGGAAATAGCAGGTCCCATACCATTTTCCATCTCTGCTTCTCTTCTAGCCTGGATCCCTGTTATTACTGCTTCAAGATAACGAACAAGGGGCGACGCACCCATCAGCTCTATTGGACAACGGAAGGTTTTGCCCCATTTCGCCAGCGTGATCGCCTCCCTGCTGTCGGTAATGCCAAGGGCAAAGGTCCCTCCCAGAGCCCCAAACCTGCCAGTCCTGTGTTTAAGCTTCGACCACTGAGGATGGAGCTGATGCCAGGCAAGACTATGGAGATGATGCTGGAAGGTTCCTCCAGCACCCCCCAGGTGAGGTCCCCCGTGAGTGCTGAGCCATCCCCATCAGATCCCCTCCACTGGAACTTCTTCTGCAGCCCCTTGATATTTGCCTGAGAAGATGAGCGAATGCTTTCAAGAAAGTGTTTTAATGCCACCAGTTACCATGGCAGCACCAGTTGCTCTCATTGCTGGCCACCATCGGTTGCTAAGGCTTTTTTGTGTTTCCATAGCTACCATAAACCCAACGTGCTGATACCAAGATACAGGCTGAAGGAAGTCTTGCCGCTTTGGGGGCAAATGGCAGGTTGCAAGGTGCTGGCATGCTGAGGCAGAAGGGAAGGGCAGAGAAAATAAGTTACCCTTCGACTAGGAGCACAGGCAGAAAATAAATTTTTAAAAATGCAAAAATAATATATCTGGGGGAAGCAGTGAGTGAAACAAAACACCTGTGAAGGGAGGGAGTATCTGGGAGCAGCATCGGGTTTTTTTTCTGTAGACGAACACGGGCAGAGGGCTTGTCTAGCACGGAGTCCTGGAGGAGAAAAACGAACACAGTGTGTCAGCTCTAATGAGTGGAGTGACATTCTCCACGTGGGGAACTGTTCCCAGGGATCATTAGAATTGACAGCTTGACTTTTGTCAATATTTCCATAACAGCTTGGCCCAGGCTCTCGGCCAGCCCTGGTGTCCTAAGGGCAGCCAGGTCTCGCAGTACCCTTGGGTGGCAGCTACAAGGGGCGGATTTTGGCAGGGTCACTGGATGTTCTCCTCTCTGGACCCTTCTTTCCAGGGTAAATCCAGTTGTGTGGAGAAGCTGCCAGCTAACCCTGGTGTGTGTTCCCTGGCCCCAGGACTGCTGGGAACAGATGTTTAAGTGAATGTGGAATAAATCTGTGTTAAGCTTCTGCTGATGTTAGTGTTTTGAAAGATGTTTTAACGGGTTGCTTCAGTGGTAGCTTGAAGAAGACTTGATTACTCACACAGTTGACTGCAATGGGATCATCCCTATGCAGTTCTGAGCCCAAAAGTTTTGCTGAAGAGGGAAAAAGGTACCAGAAAGGAAATAAAGTGATCAGGGCACTGGTGAGGGTATCTTGCCTGGAAAGCTGAAAGGGGATCTGTGAGCTCAGCTATTGTGTACCTGGCTCTGGCAGTCAAAGCCAAGACCCTGGGAATGGGCTTTGCTCCTTCCTTGGGTGTTGAGAACTTAATGCTCTCCAGGTTGGTCAGAAGCCCAACTCATAGAATCATAGAATTGTTGAGGTTGGAAAAGCCCTTTAAGCTCATCAAGCCCAACTGTTCCCCTAACCCTGCCATCCCACCACTAAACCCTGGCCCTAAGCACCTCCTCTGCCCGGCTTTTAAATTCCCCCAGGGATGGGGACTCGACCCCTTCCCTGGGCAGCCCCTTCCAGGGCCTGACAGCCTTTGCGGGGAAGGAATTTTTCCCAGTGTCCAACCTAAACCTGCCCTGGCACAACTTGACGCCGTTTCCCCTCATCCCATCGCCTGTTCCCTGGGAGCAGAGCCCGACCCCCCCGGCTCCCCGCTCCTGTCAGGCAGTTGTAGGGAGCAATAAGGTCTCCCCTCAGCCTCCTTTTCTGCAGACTCCCTGCATTGCAGGTGCCACACAGATGATTTTGAAGTTCATAGGCTCAAAGGGGAAGTTGGGTTGTGGTGCTGTATGGGAGGGCAGAGTGAGAAATGAAGGGAGGAATTTGGGGAAGTAAAACCATGAGAAATCAGGAAAAAGCCTTGAGGGTAAGAGCACCCAGCTTAAGCAGAAGGGTTTCATGTGAAGTGCAAGACCTCTCTTTCCTGGGGAAGTTTCTTTTAAAACCAGGTCTAGGAGGGCACGGTACGTTCTAGGAATGAAGGATCCCATCTTTACCCAAAGGCAGACTGGCTATTTTAGTTTTTCCCATGGATCCTTTCCACTAAGCTTCCAAGGGGGGGGGCTTGCTAGCCTTGGCCCTTCTATCTTGTTTCTGTTAATCTCATTTGTTGTTTTTTTTGGTTTTTTTTTCATCAGTTCCTACAGCTTTCTGTAAGCATCATGCTTGGTAGTGGGGCAAATCAAAGCAATAATCATTTGGGCAGGGATTACTGCAGTTGTTGGCAGCACATGACCCACGAGTGCCTTTTGCAGATATTAAGGGTGTAGCACTGCGGATATTTGGGTGTAGTATAAATAGGATGTAGCATAAGAAGAAAAGGGGGCTATTGAGGAGCCCAGTGACTGTAACTTTGTGGCGGTGGCACGGTCTGTGGTTGGGCGGCTCTGGGTGTTTTCCAGGTGTCCCGCTAGCACCCACAGGGTGACATGTGCCTCTGGCCTGCAGGTAGTGAAGGAGCGGCTGCTGTGCCACGCCATCGTGGGGAGCAAGGCAGGGAAGGCACAGATAATGCAAGTGGATGTCACATGCGAGTTCATTGCTCCCATTCTGCAAATGTCCTCCAGAGAAATCACTTTCCGGGTGGAGAAGGTCAGTCTCTGGATTGCATCCTGTTATTTAACAGCGCGGCTGACGACTGAGAGCCTTTGGGGTGTGCGTGCTTGTCTTCAAAGGAGGACGTTAAACAGCTTCTCCAAGTCTACGGGGTTTTGGCTATCGATTTGAGCCAGACCAAGCTCTTGCCATGAGCACTGAGATTGTTATTTCACTCCTCTGGGGCTGGGGATGGTCTCACCAGCTCTATTCAGCCCTTCTTGATGCAGAGACAGAACTGAGCTGCTGAGCCAAGGGCACAGGGTAAGACGTGCAGGACCCACCAGAACAGTGTGGGCTTTGCCCGGCCTCCTCGGGGGGTGGGAGAGCAGATCGCTGCAGCTGAGCAATGCTAAACCCCTCCTCACCCTTCCCGAGGTGCTTTGTAAAGTAAATGAGGATGTTTTTAGAGGTGAGACTTTTTTTTTTTTTTTTTTTTTTCTCCCCAAAGGGAATTTGGACTTACACCTCCCC